GAGATGGGCATCTTACAAATAATAATAATAATGGCTATCTCGTAAGTTTGTAAGATGGTGCTTCAGTTCAGTTCAGTTCAGTTGCTCAGTCGTGTCTGACTCTTTGCGACCCCATGAATTGCAGCACGCCAGGCCTCCCTGTCCATCACCAACTCCCGGAGTTTACTCAAACTAAAGTCTGACACTGTTTCCACTGTTTCCCCATCTATTTCCCATGAAGTGATGGGACCAGATGCCATGATCTTCGTTTTCTGAATGTTGAGCTTTAAACAAACTTTTTCACTCTCCTCTTTCACTTTTATCAAGAGACTTTTTAGTTCATCTTCACTTTGTGCCATAAGGGTGGTGTCATCTGCGTATCTGAGGTTATTGTTATTTCTCCTGGCAATCTTGATTCCAGCTTATGCTTCTTCCAGCCCAGCGTTTCTCATGATGTACTCTGCATATCAGTTAAATAAGCAGGGTGACAATATACAGCCTTGATGTACTCCTTTTCCTATTTGGAACCCATCTGTTGTTCCATGTCCAGTTCTCACTGTTGCTTCCTGACCTGTGTACAGGTTTCTCAAGAGGCAGGTCCGGTGGTCTGGTATTCCCATCTATTTCAGAATTTTCCACAGTTTATTGTAATCCACACAGTCAAAGGCTTTGCCATAGTCTATAAAGCAGAAATAGATGTTTTTCTGGAACTCTCTTGCTTTTTTGATGGTGCTTAGCACCATAATAATAATGGCTGCCTCTTAAGTTTATAAAATCATGCTTAGCACATAGGAAAGGTTTAATAAATATTAACTTTTGTTATGATGGATTTATTCCTAAATCCTGTGGGAGGCATCAGGAATGTTCCTGAGGGTGTGGTGCACCATCACTCTGTCATCCATCTTACAAAGAGCCTTTGTCTGAGCACAGGCCCTCCCATTTATCACTCCCTCCTGTGTGTCTTCTTTCTCATTGTTTTCCTCTTCAGAGCTGTCCTTGGTGCTCTTTCTAGCTTGATTTCATCCATATAAAAATACAGACATGGACAGTCATGATACTACTCTGTACTTATGAATATGTTAGAACTTTTCCCTAAGAAAAATTGTTTTAAAAAGCATTATTCATTTGGGCTGCTCCACACTCACCTTCCCTAAGGATGGTTCTGACTAATATCACTTGAAATGTACACCTGGGCAATAAATTTCAGGCACCATCTCTGGAACTCCTACCACATGTGAATCACTGGAGAGCTGCACCACAGCAACACGTACAGGGGTAAGGCTTAGTCATGGCCCTAGCATGGTCCTCTGCGAAGAGCATCAGCCATCCCAGTACAGACAGTGCTAATTTGTTAGAGCTATGGGGGTTGATTTTTCCAGGCAGATTGTGATCTCACCGCTGGGATAATCCAGTGGTCAAAGCCCTGTCTGGGGACCTAGGCCTCTGGAGCCAAATCTCTAACTCCTATCAAGACACTCCACAGACAAAAGTAGATTGTAGGAATAAGGTAAAAGAATGGAGATAGATGATAATGATAATATTCATTATTAGTAGTGGGAAAGAAATTTAAAACTCTTGCCTGAATTTCCACAGCTCAGTATCAACATTTTGTAAAAAGGTACAAGATCACTGCCTCCACTTTTTTATGTGCATTTCAGAAATAATAGAACCTATCTCATAGGGTGACACAAGAAATAAATAGGGTTGTATTTTTTAAAGTGCATCCCCTAATTCCCACAGTGCAACCCTATCAAAATGTCAATGGCATTTTTTGCACAAATGGAAAAACTCTCATAAAATGCATATGGAATCTCAAGCAACCCAAATAGCCAAAGTAATCTTGGAAAAGAACAAGATTGGAGATCTCACACTTCCTGATTTCAGAGCATATCACAAAATTATGGTAATCAAAGCAGTATGGTGGTAGCATAAAGACACACAGGTGTTAGCTCATAAATCACAGAGTTTCCACCGTGTAGGAGGCATTTAATAAATGTGCCATCATCATCTTCATCATCATGAATCCTGATTATAATTACCCATTTTTCTCCTGGCCTCCTTCTCTATATTCTGAATATTGATGTCAGTCATTTAATTCAGATTCCTTCCTTTACTTCTATATAGACTGAGTTTGGCAAGTTTTGACTAGGTATAAGGAGAAATGTGACTTAGGTAGGGATTAAATGAGGAAGAACAGGTTCCAGTCTCATTAGGCCATGAGGAGTCAACCTGACAGAATCTTACCTTCCAGGGTTTTGATGAAGATGAAAGAGGAGTAAAAAAGCTGACTTAAAACTCAACATTCAAAAAACTAAGATAATTGCATCCAGTCCCACCCCTTCATGGCAAATGGATGGGGAAAAAATGGAAGCAGTGACAAACTTTATTTTCTTGGGTTCCAGAATCATGGCAGATGATGACTGTAGCCATGTAATTAAAAGTTGCTTGCTCCTTGGGAGGAAAGCTATGACAAACCTAAAGAATGCATTAAAAAGCAGAGACATCACTTTGCCAACAAAAGTCTGTATAGTCAAAACTCTAGTTTTTCCAGTAGTCACGTATGGATGTGAGAATTGAACTGTAAAGAAGACTGAGCACCCAAGAATTGATGCTTTCAAACTGTGGCGCTGGAGAAGATGCTTGAGAGTCTTTTGAACTACAAGGAGATCAAACCAGTCAGTCCTAAAGGAAATCAACCCTGAATATTCATTGGAAGCTCTGATGCTGACTCCAGTACTTTGGCCACCTGATCTGAAGACCTGGCTTATTGGAAAAGACCTGGATGTTGGGAAAGTTTGAGGGCAAGAGCAGAAAAGCGGGCGTCAGAGGATAAGATGGTTGGATGACATCATCAACACAATGGACAGGAATTTGAGCAAACTCTGGGAGATAGTGAAAGACGGGAAGCCTGGCATACTGCAGTCCATGGGGTCACAAAGAGTCAGTCAGTCAGTCAGTCAGTTCAGTCACTCAGTCGTGTCCGACTCTCTGTGAGTCGGACAAGTATTAGAGCTTCAGCTTCAGCATCAGTCCTTCCAATGAATATTCAGGACTGATTTCCTTTAGGGTTGACTGGTTGGATCTCCGTGCAGTCCAAGTGACTCTCAAGAGTCTTCTCCAAAACCACAGTTCAAAAACATCAATTCTTCAGCACTCAGCTTTCTTTATGGTCCAACTCTCACATCCATACCTGACTACTGGAAAAACCAAAGCTTTGACTAGACAGACCTTTGTCAGCAAAGTAAGGTGTCTGCTTTTTAATACAAATGAGCAACTGAACAACAAAAGGGTTTTGAGTAGAAATGAAGGAGCTATCTTTGTCCCACCACTGGCAGTTACTGGTCAGCAAGTCTAAAGGCAAAGCTATAGCTCACACAAAGCCAATTATGGAACCATGGGCCCTGTTAATAACTTACACAGAATCTTCAGTGTATGGATGGCCAAATGGTATTTGTATTCTTGATTGCCACACTGCTGGGTACATTCTCAGTATCTGACAGCACAGAGTCTAAAACAAACAGTCTAAAGGAGAATTTCATTGTGTAGGTAATTTCAGAGCATCCTTGAGGTCAAGAAATAAAATGTTGGGCAGATAGCTCAAAGGTCAAGGTCTGGGCATGTATTTTTCACTGCCTCCAGCTACAGCTACTTCTGGTGTTCAGAATGGCTTAACAAGAGTCAGGACAATTTCTGAGTATTTATCAGCAGCTTCCAGAATTGTGGATTGACATTCTCTTAGAGCAACAATTTAAAAAAAATTTTTTTTATTGCAGGATAGTTGGTTTACAATATTGTGTCAGTTTCAGGTGTATAGCACAGAGAGCAGCATTATTTGGTGTCCTGGGTGGAAGCTGTTTGCTTTCTTCTTCCCTGAAATAATAGCTACAACTTAAATATCATCAGTGGTAATGATCAAATTTGAGTTTCATTTTATGCTGCAAAATTTGTTAGTCCCAGCTTACTCTACTCAAGCCATAGTAAATCTACTACTGCTAACTTTTATTTAAAGGTCTTTGTGTGGGAGATGGTCTTTCTTCAACCCTATTTTTACCAGGAGATAATTATAAATTTGTCAACCTGTGCACAGGTATAACTCTTACACAGTCAAGGAAGGAATGTCAGGCATTCTTCTCCATGATGTGCCATCCATGCCATCACAGGTGGATTCTATCAGTTTCCCTTCTCTTGTGTCTCAAGCATTACCAAGGCAGTTGGTGATCACACTCACATCACACTCACACACTGCAACAGGGAGCAGTTGGTGGTCACACTCACATCACACTCACACACAACAACAGGGAGCTGTCCCCTCACTGGGTACCTGGATGCTTGATATGTGCAGCTGTATACTGGGGACCCCAGGGCAACCTGAGCTTTCCAAGGAATTTACATAATAAAGGGAGTGTTTTCTGTTTTCCCAGGAATTGGGTCATAATGGAAATCAGGACACTAGTGTACCTGCCTCATACCTCCCATGGAATCCTGGGTTGATAAGCATTTAGGCACCAGCTGCTGGTGCACACAACTCAGGATGTCTTAGAGAACATGTACACGAATGATGTACACGATTTCAGGATGGCTTAGAGAACATGAAACATCAGGGACTGGGTCTGTGCTACAGTCTTAGGTGGAGATTAGCAACCTGGGGTCCCTGGACTTTCCCCACTGGCTCTCTGAATATGAATGGGAGAAATGATATCTTTATTGCCATTAACCTTAAAGTCATAAAGTCAAACTTAGTACTTCCTTCTACTGTGAATATAGGCAACAAATCACAGTCGAATTAGCAGTGCTTTTGAGAATAGAAACCACAGGTACATTCATATCACATCCAGATGTCACAGACATCTCAAAATACCATTTACATTCATTACTAATTCAATAGTTACTTCACCCACCGCTGGATCTTGTTGTTGAATGCATTAATAAAGATGCACATATATTACTGTATCTTAACTTTCATTAGTATTTTGACTATATGTAACATCTGTGGTTTCCTCTGTATTTAATTTTATTTGCAGTGTGTCTCCAGGTATCCAGACAACTCTGGAAGAAGACTGGCCCCTGGAAGAAATGATCAGTAGCCCAAGGATTTCTGGTCACAGCGCTGTGCAGAGATCTTCCAGTATTCCTCAGGAGCCTTTCCTGTCTCCATGTGTCATAACCAGGGCCGTTCCCAGTACATCAGTGAGCATCAGGAAAATGTTAAATGCTTCTTAACTGGTTAGTGAATAGGCACTGGTCTGAGCTCTCTGAGTGTGCCTCCGCCTCTCCAGACACCCTGGCTGCAAGAATCCCTGGTGGGCACTAAAGCGGAACAGCCCTTGAACCAGCTAAGTCTTCTGCTGCCTGAGGTCGTCCTGCATTTCCCCCCTCCCCATCCACCTCCCACCGTTGCTGCCAGAGCTATCAGACCCCAACCCTCCTGGGAGAGGGACTGTCCTCCTGCAGGGAAATGTGCCCAATGCCCACCTGGCCACCCCAAGGCTGCAGCGTCCTGCTTGCCTTTCCCCCAGGTCCCACTTCTCTATATTTTTCTAAAAATGCTACCACGGGATGGACCTAATAAAATTCATAGGAATGACAGTATTGCCCTGGAGAAGAGCCTGATGCTGGGAAAGATTGAAGGGAAAGGGCGAAGGAGGCAGCAGAGAATGAGATGGTTAGAGAGCATCACTGACTCAATGGACAGGAATTTGAGCAAATTCCAGGAGACAGTGAAGGACACGGGAGCCTGGTGTGCTGCAGTCCATGAGGTTGCAAAGAGTCAGACGGCAGCAATGTTGCATTGAAGGGGAGGCAGCTTGTAGGCGAAGCAGCTCATAGGTGCTTTGCCTCTACCCTGTCAGCTGTCATTCGCTGAACTAAACCCTGCACTGGGGCTCGAGTACTGTGTGGTCCTTGAAGGACTGAGGCCACAGCGTTCTCCTTGGCTCTGAGCACACACCTACAACAACTGACCATCACTAAGATCTACACTCAGATTTCTGAATGAAAATGGCTAAGTAGCAGCTCTCCATCCCCACCTATGGGAGCTCCGCAGGTGGCGCAGTGGTTAAAGGATTCACCTGTCAATGCAGGAGAGGCAAGAGACATGGGTTTGATCCCCGGTCAGGAAGATCCCCGAAGTAGGAAATGGCAACCCACTCCAGTATTCTTGCCTGGAGAATCCCATGGACAGAGGAGCCTGATGGACTTGGTCCATAGTGTTGCAAAGAGCCAGACACAATTGAGCATGAGCACCTCACCAATATGACACCTCACACGCCAAAATAAGGGCCTTTTCCTAACTCACAGCTCTCATACAGGTAGGTACATAGCTTCATTATTGCTTTAAAGTAAGGACATTAACTCAAAACTGTGGAAATTTCTCTACTGAGAAATGTCCCACTCAAACACATTTTGTCCCCAGGCTGGTATATTATTTCAGACCCTAAATGGCGAACAATACCTTTTGGATGTGTATCCAACAGTAAACTGTGTGCGGATCTCTGTGCTATCCTGCTGAGCTGTTGCTAAGGCTGCCTGGCTTGTGTGTCTGCTGGGAGTGGCTTTCCGGCTGCTCCAGTGGGCTGGGCCCTCAAAGTCAAAATAGCTGAGTGGATTTTCTCTCTGTCATTTCCAAGCTGCGTGCCCCTGGGGAACCACTTGGTTTTCCAAGCCTCAGCTATGTATCTAACCCAAAGTTGGTGTGGGGTTTAGAGGAATGTAAAAGGCCCAGCCCATGGCTAGCATATAATAAAGACTCAGTCATTTGTTATTTTTGTTATCTTAATGCTCTTGGACTGAACCAAAGGGTTGCATGCAGCCAACAGTGTGTTTGGAAGGGTAGAGGGAGCACTCAACTTTGTTATTATGTCATTGTTGCCTGAAATTCTTCATTAGAAAGGCATTCTTGGGGCTAATAACTTTTTAAAAATGCAAATAGCTGTAGGGTTTACTTCATTAAGCTATTAGCTGTCACTGCCACTGAAAGGATATGTGTGATTGGGACAAAAATACAACCTGTGATTGTCCAGAGCTTCCTCTCCCCTGGGGACTGGCAGTGAATGAGGTGAAATATGCTTTAAAGAGAGAGAGACTGAGAGGGAGGGGCAGGTCCATAGTCCTGGGTCCCCAGGGATTCCTGCCAGGTAGGCCCGAAGTCTGGGGCCCACTTTCCACTGTGCAGCCTGAGGAGGAAGAAGGTGCTTTGGGGAAGCACTAAAAAGAGAAAATTAGAGGCGGTTAAAGTTTATAAGAAAGTTGGTGGGAGAAGGGGGACAGAGACTCTGATGTACCACTGCTGTGGTCGACATAATTCTTATTCCAGGTCAGTTGCTCCAGAAGCAGGGCTAAGATGGAGTCTATGCTCTGAAGACTAACCAGTTGGTATGTCTGGGAAAAGTATAAAAAGGTCTTTCATTTGATGATTATTTTGCACCCTAGAGATTGGGACCCCATCCTGTCAGAGTAATGCCAATGACCATACTTCAGCTGCACCCTCAGCCAATTGCCGAGGCTCTCTCGGCTGGGCAGTTTCTGAGAGATGTGGAATGTGCTGCAGCCTGTGGAGCCCATGGTCCTGGGCCCACTCTTGCTCTTCTGCTGGGATGTGGTCCCACAGTCTGATGTGATGTTGTATGGGATTTCATACCAGTGGATCAAACACTCTGTAAGCCCTTAAGATAGTGGTCATGGCTAAGGCCTACAGATGGAAAAGGCAAATCTATAGCCAAATTATGTGTATATTCTTGAAGTGCTGGTTTTTCTAGGTTTGAGGGGGCCCAGTATAGTCAATTCATTGCAAGTTGGCCACTTGGTCTCTTCAAGGAATGGTGTCATACCAGGGGCTGGCTCTTTGCTGGTCTCTGTTCAACAATGGTAATTATTAGCCTTAGGTCCTTCTCTTTCCACTCAAAAGGGGTGACCAGTATGAAGATCTGTCTTGCTAAGTGAGAGTCCATACTTCTGGCCCATGAATCACCTCCATCTTTGCCACTGTGGCCAGAAGGGCTGCTCACATCACAGCCTGAACCTGCTCTAGAGCCCTTTCCCACTTTGCAGTCCTCAAAATCCAGCAGCCAATCACCTCACTCAGTACATGGGCCATGAAACTATCACTAGCAGTAGAAAACGACATCTTCAGAATCCAAACCAGCATTGTGCATCCTTCTTCATGGTAGATGGTAAAAGATGTATAATTTGTTTTTCCTCTAGAAGGGGATTTCAGCATACCCCTGACCACTGAGCTATAAATGTAGCAGGCCCGTATATATTCAGAGTTTATCTCACATCTCCTGGAACATCTGTGAAGGTGTTACCAAGGCCTCTAGCCTGTCGGTCACCTCTTGCTTGTCTGGCCTAATCAACGTAATGCCCATAATGTAATTGATAAGTGTCATGTTCTGAGGAATACCAGGATAATACAGAGATCTCCTGTAGTATATCTATGTAATAAATACAACAGAGGGCAGAAGTTTACATAGCTCTAGGGTAAAACTAAAAATGTATATTGTCCATTTGATGTGAATGTGAACTATTTTTGATCCCCCCCTTTTTAACAACAACAACAAAAAAAAAAACCCTAATTTTATTTAGCCCAGTATTTCCCAAACCTAGTGGCTCATGGAAACTTCTGCATACTTTGTGGGATAGTCCACAGGACACCAGTTTGGGAAGTGCTATGGGGTAAGGCTCTGAAAGTGGAGGAAGGGGTCTCCAGGAGAAGCTATGTGGCAGGATTGAGCCACGGCAAGATTCCAGTGCCAAGAGAGGAGTAAAGGAGGGAGCTGAAAAGCCAGGGCTAAGGGCCCCAGAGCATAAGGGGAAGGCAAACGGGAGAGAGCAAGGGCAGGGGGGATAGAGAAGGAGCTGTTTGGATGCAGAGAGGAGAGAGGAGGAAGAGGCAACTCTGAGCATTCGCATCTGAGGAGGGAGGAAAGGAGAGAGCAGAAAGGGGGTGAGGAGCGGAGGACATCCCTCACTCTGCACATTCCCCTGTCACTCTTCCCAGCTTGTGAATGAGGCGGATCTAAAACCTGTGGCTTCCCCAACTCGGGGCTGATCACCTTTCTTGGCTGTGATAGAAAAGTCATTCACCATGTCAAGACCACAGGACATATTCCGGAGGCCATGCTACTTTCTCGAGCAAAAGATGGTGGCTGTAATTTAGGCTCCTATGTGGTCGTGCTTGTTGTGGTCTAGCAGGAGTCAGCAAACCTGAGCCTGAGAGTCACATCTGCCTGTTTTGTGTATTAAATTTATTTTAAAAATATATTAACATGTTTTTTTGGAATCCAGCCACATTTACAAATTTCTGTAGTTGCTTTCATGCTACAACTGTAGAATTGAGTAATTGAAACAGGAACCCTATGATCAGCAAAATCTAAATATTAATTACCCTTACCTTTATGGAGAAAGTTCATTGACCCCTGGTCTACAGTTATCTTCCAGGGTCCATCTGGTTTCTTCAGGGTCTGCTTTAGCAAATTAGATGGAGATATTTGGGAACCACCACCCTTGCATCTTTTTTATCTTTAAGAGCGACACTAATTTCTACTTTTTCCCCCAGGATGCAGAGTCACTGTCTTGAAGGGAGAAGGGGTTCAAGAGCCTTCCACATGGCCTTTCCCATGACAGCTCTTAACCCTGCAGACCAAGGACTTGATGTGGGAGTTGCCAAGGATGTCAATCTAATGGTACATTTGGCAAGAAGGGAACAGAACACAGGGTGGGTTCATGGACACAGTCGACCACCAAGCCAGGACTTGGCTAGGATTTCATCTATTATCTAGGCTTCATATCATTTCTCTGAACAAGGGGCCTGTGGTGATGCTTCAAGTCTCTGGGTATCAGCATCTGTGCAGATCTTGTTCCAGCAGTCCTTGAAATGTCCAGGAGTTACCCTTTGCAATTATCTGAGCAAATGCCACATGATACCTTGAAGGGGGAAAGGCTTCTGCATTGTCTTCTGAGGTGGGGAGCTGGAGGGGTGATAGCTACTAGCAGTGTAGGTGAACAGCTTCTCTGAGTCTGCAGGCTCAGCAAGTTCAGAGGAGTCTGAAAGTCAAAACCTCAGGGACCTTGATTGGATATTGAAGCCTCCTGAATTTGGCCCTCCACTCTCCTAGAGGAGATGAGAGCTGCTTCATATACACTTAAAGAAGCCCTCTGGCTTCCATTCCTAGCTTTCAGTTGCCTCTTACTCAGTCCTTCAATGTTCATTATCTTTCTGTAGCGCATCACTAACTCCTAGCAATCACACCACTACTCTTATCCATGCACCTGCTCTTTTCTCCATACATCTCAAATGCCTGATAAACCATTCTAGCTGGTACCTTCCCTCCTACCAGTACACGCTCCCAATTCACCACAGGTGAAAGTTTTAACAGTTAGGCTACCACCTTACCCCAGAGCTGTGTTCCTCCTGCCAGTAACTGGTGTCCTCATCACCTGCCCGAGGTAAATAACTGCTCCAGAACCCCGTCTTATTGCCTACTTTGTTGGACTACTCCTGGTACAAACTCACATAGCTTGGGTTCTCTGGAACCAGATGCTGAGATGGGTGTAAGATGTTTATTAGGAATCAACACCTGTGAAGGAAGATGAAGGAAACAGTATTGGGCGGAGGTTGAAGCTGA